GATGAGGCCTATCAGTTGACCTAAAGAAAATCTTAAATACAAAAACTATTGTTTGAAAAGGCTAGAAAAGAATATCGCTCCTCTCATTTACTCCATCTGATGCAACCTAAAGCTACCAGAACACCGCAGTATTGTATGATCAAATAAACATATTTACATCAGCCATTCAAATTTACAGAACATTCATCAATATTTCACTAGCAACAAAGTTGATTTAGTATCTTTTCTTTGTTACTGCAGTGTCCGGGCAGGTTGCACCCACCTCAACTAATTCCACATGGTACCTACTACCTCCAACCAACACAGGTACCGGATATAGTATCCAGTTAAGAAAGCCTATGGTTTGACTTAGTGAGAATAAATGCAACCTAGTCAACTGACGATCATCATTGGTGGGGCCTTCAGCAACAGTAAGGGACGAGACACATTTAAAGTACCTAATAAGCTATTAATTATAATATTAGGAAAACATCAACACGAATAAGTAACAGAGAAAGAGGGTTTATGCAACTAATTGACGAAGGACAGAGCATTGAGGTTCTCTTATAAAGTGTTGCTCCACACTAAAAGTTGAGTTGTTTTAAAATAAGAGAGAAAATGACACTACAACAGAAGACTGAAATGCTGCATCCATTAACAAATGTCATATGCACAAATAACAATTTTGCCTCGGACAATAAGATGAGGAGCATCCATTATGCACATTCCAATGAGAGGATGTCAATTTTCAAAAAAAAAAAAAATGAAACATCTGACACTTCAAGGGAAGTCAAGACATTATTAAGAAAAAGGGGTGAGAAAGAGCCAGTGTTAAGCAAAGGAGAAAGGAAACAAACACACATGAGCTCTTTCTCCCGATGCAATAAGCTGCCATTGCAGATATATCCTTGACATTGGCCTGCTGATCCATTCATATTCATGTCAAAGAGCACTCAACAAAACAAGACATACTATAACCTAATACTAAAACTACACAGAAGCCTTTCTACGAAGGTGGGCGGCATGGGCACTCCACCAAATGAATATGTGGGGAAGTATAATTACTTACCAAGTGTAAGACATCAATACTGACGAGGCGTGCGTCATTTCCCTCAATAGTTACCAATAATACATTTCCAGCTACATCAGCAGTAGTTTTGTTGTTCACTATCTCTTGCCTGTTAGAATACTGTAGGTAGACGGTTTTCCCTCGTACCTGAGCCGGTTCTGAGGAAGACGCATAGTACGATATCATTGCAATAGCTTGATTCAATTCTGCCTACGATAATTAATAATAGAGGATAAGAACATCAAGAATAAGTGTAGTTTCACTAGAAACAAACAGAGATTTGAAAATGAAGGAAGTTACACTTACAAACTCTATAAATGCTTGATTTCTATTTGCTCCAACATTACACTTGGTATTGACAACTTTACCAAATGGCTTCCCCAATTCAATCAGTTCCTCTTCTGTGCACTCCCATGGCAAGTTTCTTAAATGAAGAACCTTAGAGGGAGGCTGCGTGTATCTGAATTGAGGCTGGCTAGATACAGATGACATTCCAAAACACAAATCCAAGCTCCAACAAAATCAACACAGATAAAGCCCAGCAAGTAACGCTCCTTCAAAAGTAAGACCATATTCGCACATAAACAAGATATTTACAATATGCAATTTCACACCTCATCACTCAAAAACAGCACCTAGCTAAAAGGTATAAGTACATCAATCAAAAGATAAAGCATGTTTATGAACCCGCTGTGATTCTACAGCGAACAAACTAAATTTAGAGTAAGTTCAACTACTTCCATATACTATCTTGTCCTTCTTCAGTTTTTCTCATGCCACCAGAAATTACTAATCCCTTGTGTTCTTTTCTAACTGTATACAGAGGGAAAACAACTAAAAAGAACAAGGAACAAAACATACACTTCTTATCCTCTTCCTAGTGTAAGAAAGTAATCATTCAATGTTATAATCATAGCACCATACTTGGCAGTTCCTCTCCACACCCAAGAAAGTAGTAAACAAATACCCCGATGAGAATTGCAAACAGAAAAAGCAATACAGATTAAGCAGCATTTCACCAATACAAAAATAACAGAGTCAGGAAAAAGACACAAACTTTATCATCAACTGTCCACAAAGTTGGGCTGGTCGATGCACGTAAATGTCTTAGAGCGGTAAAAAACTAAATAGCGTACAACCCCTCAAGCCAAAACCCAGCCAACAGATAGAACAAAGAAAGAAAATGAAAAAAAGGGGTCAGGAATTATCGTTGCAGGGGAAAAAATAGTTATAAATCAAAAGCACTGTCGTTCAGAAACAGATAAAGAATATGAATTTAGGGCAAAGGAACAAAAAAAAATGAGGGATATTTCAGTTAGGCGTACCAAGGGGGAGACGAGACGAGACGAGAACAGCAGAGGATTTTGTTCAGGTATCACGGAGACGAAAGGGCAACGGGGCGGTGTAAACAAAGTTCAATAGATCTTGAAAACGCTGGAATTAAGGAATCAAAACATACCGGATGAGGTAGAAACAAAGCCAAGGGGCGAGGCTGGAAAACACACAAATATATACCTGGAGCAACATATGTATTTATCATAAAATGCCACTACTTTTCTTTTGAAAAAATAATCTCCACTACTTTTTTTTTTGAAAAAATAAGCTAGTGAATTGTTCGGTATCACACCCTTTTGAAAGAAAATTATGACTTACTATTATTTTCAATCTAGTTTCCTAAAAGATATCAATAATTATCTTAATTTACTTAATTTGGACTATGAAAAAATTCAAACAATTCGCTTAAGTAGGACTAGAGGGAGTATTGCGTACTGACATGAGTAATTTGGAATAAGATTGATTTAAATTTTAGATTTTGTTTGAATATGTAATTTGAATTTTTAAAGTTGTATTTTCTTAGAAACATAAAAACTTCAGAATTTGTGGAAATTATTAAAACTTTTCCAATTCTTAAGTAATTTTTTTTTAAAAATCATATACAAAGTATTAAAATACATTATGACGTCGAATTAATAAATCACATATCTTCATGTTTCATAAATAAATATTTTTCAAACTTTCAAATACACAATTTTACAAATATTTATTAGTTCAATAAATTAACAATAGTAGTAACTAACTATTTTATGATAAAATCCCTCCACATGGTACAATCGATCTCTTCACGTCGATTATGAGTTTTTTTTTTCTTTCAAAATTTAAATTATGGTTTTTTTTTTATATATAAAATAAACTATGGATTATGTTTTATATCTTAAAAACAAATTTAGAATTATAAATCCTATTTTCTAAATTTTTTGTTTGAAATCATGATTTGAAGTTGAAACTAAAAATTTGTGCAGATTTTATAACCAAAGGTTGATTTAAAAAATCAAGCTCCCAAATCCTGATTTTAGCCCAAAATAAATTTGAGCAGTTCATGGCCAACTCAATTTCTAATTCAGCTCATTTTAATTTCTCCAATTTCAATTTAATCCCCCATTTAACATCTTAACTATTATTATAAAAAAATGTATAACCGTACTCTTTTTTATTTTAACTTGCACTGCAATCCCTAACAACTTGTTTAAATGGTTGTTGCCTTGATGTCATATCATATTTTATCATACTGCTAGGGGTGTTCATGGTTTGGATAAAAACCGATTCAAATTGAAAAATTGAACCAAACCGATAAAATAAAATTGATTTTATTTGGGTTTGATTTGGTTTGGTTTTAGATTTTTGAAAATCGATAGTATTTGGTTTGGTTATGGCTTTATTAAAAAAAAATCAAAAAAATAACCGAACCAAACCGATGAATTATATACAAATATTTTATTAATATACATACTTAATATATTATTTTTATAAACAATTTTAAAGATCTCATATATGTTTTCATTATAATTTCTTTATAATTTACTTATTGAAAGCAAAAATGTCCAAGGTGAAAATATTTATTTTATTGATTTCATGTATAAGAGTGTCAATGACAATTCTCTGTGGGATTGAAAATGTCAATGTCTCTTCCTTCTAAGCTTTTAAAGGTTTAATCATAATAAATTCAGTGATAGAAAGTTCAATAATTTCAGTCATTTTAACTATTTTTTTTGTTTTGAATGGATTGTTGTCACTTTTTTCACATTTTGAAAGAACTTTTTCTTTTATTTTTGTGTATGGTTAATAGCCGAATAACCGAACCAAACCAAACCGAAATCGATAAATGTATATTATATTTGATTTGATTGGATTTTGATAATTTTAAAACCGATTAAATTGATTTAATTTTGATTTTGACCAATAACCGATCCAAACCGACCCGTGAACACCCCTACATACCACATTGTTTTGATTAATACAATATATTTGAATAAATTTTATTACTTTCCATTGTTAAATAATGTCACACATCAAGGGATATTACAAAAAAAAAGTAGGATACAAGGTACAATTTTTTTAAACAAAATAGAATAAACAATAAATAGAATTATTAAATAATACTCCAAAAAACAAAACAAAATGATTAAAAAAGAAGAAGCCATCACACCAAATCAATTATAATGAACTTTTCGTCATCACATAATAATGAATTTAACAATACAATAAGATTTAAGTTACAATCAAAACAAACATTTTACATACAACTGGTAACAACCATCCAAGCAAGACTACCCATATGGGAAGCTTTACACAACAAACTTTTCTTCAACTTACAGCGTTGGCACTAAATAAACTTTGTTTGATACTAGTAGGAATGGCCGTAGTAAATAGTTGCTAGGAATGCATGCTAATGTAGCTGATGAATTTGAACTGAGAGCTTATTAGCTATGAAATTTAGGTAGGGCTAAATTGACGTTAGCTTTAGACTTCTGCAGGTTAGCTCCGATTTTGTCCCAAGGTAAATGCATGTCCCCCAAAACAGTATGGAAAACCTGTTCCACTGATCCTCAATTGCATAAAGTTTGCTAATACCTTGTAAGAGTGTGGGAAGAGAAGTACGTTTTCCTTCCTGCTCCAGAAGCCAGAGAGATCCATGTAATGAGTTAAATTGGCATCAACAACTGGGCTGCAAGGAGATACATATTCAAAAACCACGTGTCATTATCGTAAAAAATTTTACATTCATAGGACCAAAGTGAGAGCCAAGGAATCATCCAGTCATCCACAGTTCAGCTATTCAACTTTTGCACAACAATTTCAGGACTCTGAACCTCCTAAGTTCATTTTAGAACTCAACTCATCAAATGGCTCTGGCAAGACCTTAAACATATAGTGCCATATTAGCATAAATAGTCTGTAGAACTAGCTGACAATATATCAAGATAATGCCATTTTATAGTAGCAATCATGTAAACTGGAAAATTCTTCACTAACAAAATACATCTTTTAGTATTGTGTATAGAGAGAACAAGCAATGCTATAGCAATCATAAGGCCGGAAGATATCCGTGTGAATGACAGAAGGAGAAATGATCATTCTGTTTACAAGTAATTCAACAATAAAAAGACCTTAATAGAGTAGAATTGATACAGAAAATGCATATAATCTCGACCCTAGCTCATTTGACAATTGACAATTAGTTGATAAATCCATTCCCCTTTAATAAGTAATTATATATCAAATGTTTTCAGAATAGTACCCAAAATGGAAGTTCTCTTACCAAATAGGAGTCAGCTGTGCAAGTAGCCTAAAACAGCGGAAACAATATGCAAAGAACCCGTGACTACTAAAATTCCAGGTTGTTCTCCAGCTCTTTCATTAAGGATCTTAACACCAGCCCTTATACAAGCCAATAATGATCCCTCCGCAAGTAAAATACTTTGAGATTTCACTATCCCTGCAGCTTGAAGTGATTGATCCTCACTTTCTGCAACTTTGAGGTCAAGAACCTTCATATTCATCTCTCTCGAAGCATTGACCCAAGAACATTTCAACAAAGATGCTGAAGCCATTCTTGATTTAGCACCAGCGATGTCAACTTCTGTAGAAAATACAGCATCCAAATCCCCAACTGCCAAAAGAATGATTGTCTTAGTGGAGTCATTTATAATACAACAATCAAATACCAAAAAACATGTGAAATGCAAGTATAATGTTAGAGACAAACACTCTAATGATAGAAAGCTGATGATTCACATTTCATTTAGAACTCACCTTGTTTGTATAAGTAGCTAAAAACATGGAAATGGCCAGAAGAGAGTGAACAACGTTACATATTTGGAAAAGTTTGCTACTTTTAGTACTCTCTATGTCTCAATATGGACTTGTAAGTCTACGTAGCACATAACAAAATCATCTGGGTGGTTGTTACCTATTGTACTGAAGTCTATGTAGGACATAACAAAATCATCTCAGACAAACTTCTCTCATATATTCTTGTGTCTGCCACTTGAACCCTTTATCATACATCATCATTTCTAATACTGTTCAATCTTTATGACCACACATTCATCTTTAATATCCACATTTTAATGACATTCATCTTATGGATATTTAGGTTTAACGGCCCGATATTCATTGTAAACATTCTCGCAGTCACGGGACTCATTCATTTCATACATCCAAATTTTAACTGACCCCATCCCTTTTTAGCACCTCCAATTATCATATCGTCACACAGGAAGACTGCATATGAGGTCTATGTGGGACATAACAAAACCATCTCAGGTAACCCACTCTTAAAATCCTCTACATGATCCATTTGAACCCTATATCGGATGTTACCATTTCTAATCTTCTTCAGTCTTGACTCGTCTTGAATGAAGGCAAATATAACTTTTAACATCTGCATTCCATAAACATATATCTTGTGGATACATTAGGTTTGGAGACCCAACCATTCATAGCCATATAACATCGTTGTCTCATAATAGTTTCAAGTATCTGTTTATCACATATCATTCTCGTAAGACTCCTCTGTTTAAGTCATTATTTTTAAACTCTATGTTTTGCATTCATCTATCATGCCATTCTACTTAAAGACGAAGTCCAGATGTCCATATTGTATTTATTAGGCATCACAATTCTGTCTAATCATACTTCACCTTCATTCTTCTTATAGGGTTTAAACTTGCAATGTATAATGTCTTACTTCTATTTGTCCTAAGACATTGCTCTCTAGTGTACTTCTCTATAGTTTCAAGTTTTGATTAAGCCTCCAAAGAGTAAAAGTTTTAGGACAAGTATTTAGTTGCAAAGTAACAGTAGCAAACACGCAAAGAGGGTCAAATTGACAACAAAACTATTCCACAATCTTCAGGTTACAGCTAAGCAATAATTGAAAAATTAAATGTGTAAATGATCTAAGAACTCGTCAACTAAAAAAGGATATGGATACGTGACAAAGAAATCCAAAATTGGTCAAACCTGAAATTAACTCTCTTGCAAAACCTAGATGATCCTTGTCATTCGCCATAGCAACCACAAGAACCATTTTTGCCTTCGGAAATGTCATCTGCAATGTGTTTTCCAAAGCCCTGGCAGATTCCTTCGTATGTGCTGAAAATGTTTATTTGTTATCATACTATCCACCTCCAAATAGACTGACAATTACAACTCTTGAAAACAGATGTAAAACACTTTATTATCCATGGCTATGTAACACATATATAGACGCATGCACAAGTGCATGACTAACAATAAGAACATCAAGATTCAACCTCCATCAAGTAGTATAGTTGCTCCTGATACTCCAAGTAAATTAGCTTCTTCTGAAGACAATATTTGGGTTCTGCCTTGCAAAAATGCACTCTCCAGACCAGTACGAATAGCTCCACTGGACAAACTCCATCCTGGTATTTAGACCCATTACAAGAATGAAGTTAAGAAAGAAAGCTGATAGTTGATCATATTATACAAGCAAAGTATCAAAATAATTCAATCAAGTACCTCACATTGTCAATGTAAACTTTGTAGTTAAAATAACTTATATCCATTATTAGAAGACATTACAATCTGCTTCTTATGAAGCTTTAAGATTAACTCCATGTCTATCCTTTTCCAAAACTACTATTGTCAATCAGGAGATATCATCCCAATTAAAGGTTAACCCACAACTGAAACGAGGAAATACCAAATTAATGGGGTCAAGCATGTGCTGGTAGCTAAATGCCCCTTGAATAACTCTAGCATGTTATGGGATTAAAGGTAAAGCTTAACCTGACTGCCATTAATGTAACAGAGTACACGAGATTTGCCAAGATAAATCCTTCAAATCAACAATATAAAAAGGGAAAAGCTTTGAGATGAGGGTTCCATTTCACAGAGCAAGCTGTAAGCCCAATGATTTATGCAGTTTTAGTGTCCTGAACCCCGTAAAAGTATGTCAAATCTGTAGCGCATATCAGAATACAAGGTTGAATACCTATCAAAAAGAATAATACAAGACTATATAATCCCCATAATGCATCAGCTAATCCGTACTGTTAGAGAAACATCATAACTAAACTGACAACAAAGCTGTATCTACTTTTCCTTGTGAGTAGGCACACAGATACAGGTTTCAGGAAGTGACTTTAGAAAGCCAATCCATAGCATATATTAACTGAGCACCTAACCAACTCTGTTAATGTTTCTAATGACCAGAAAACAAGGTTATACGATTTCAATTCCCATCATAGTCGAAGATTTATTAACTTGCAAGAACTATTTTTGAAGTAAGAACAAAGGAAAAATTTGAGTCCTTACCTTGCTTATTAAGGCATAATGCTGCACATGTAGCAGTTACAGCGTTCTGAAGTTGGTGAGCTCCAAGCATGCGTAATTTCACACCTAGAAGTTCAATAGACTGCACTATTTATGAAAAGCAATTAATAGCTTGTTATATTGTTAGAAATTGAACAAGTTTCAAAAAGTCCAATGTGTCATTTATGAACCACAAATGAAGATCAGTTTATACCAGATCATAGTCCTTCTCAATCTGAAGCACTATGTCACATAATTGGCGTGGTATGCCAGTCACTTCACAGAAGCCTTTCAAAGCGCTTCTATTTCCCAGATCAGATGCTGATACCACTGGTGAAGACATAGAAGATGCTTTCCTACGAAGAATGTACTCAATAGATGGAACGAATGGACCTCCTATAACTAGCTGAAATATTGAATCATTTGAAGCAAGTCAAGCATAGTTGATCCAACAGCAAATAAAATTATTAATAATAATTTTTAACATAACATACTACACAGACAACATTAAGACGTTAATCATCTTTACCATCTCATCAAAGTTTGAGGTTAGAACCAGCAGACTAGTAAAAAATAAATACAACCAATGTAGGGCATGAGCTGTTTGCCCAATGTGTGAAATCACTTATGTCTAGAAAACCCTAAACAGAAAACATCAGATCAAATACAATTTCAAGAAGAAATATTCATCTTTGAATATATCCAATGGATAGGTGAAGGAAAGACCACCTAACTGGACGCCCATTTTTAACTATTCCTGATTTTGCCACCGCTATACTTTCCAAAGAGCCCCCAAGTGCATCCAGATGTTCCTCGCCAACAGTGGTTATGATTGATATAGCAAGATCAGGACCCGAAATAACATTAGTGGCATCTCGTGCTCCACCCAATCCAGCCTATACGGTAGGAGAAAATATAAAATGTTAATGTAAGCACAAGTGGAAAGAAAATTTTGATCTTGGAGGAAAAGGAAAAGAAAAAGAAGAAGGAAGACCAAATATCTAATATAGTCTAAAGATTATTATTTAAACACCAACTATGGTGGAAAGAACAAAGGAAGTGGGGAAAAAAGTATAGCTATTGTAGAGAAAAGAGTCAAGTTAATGTGTTTAACCTCCACAACTGCAATTTCAGTATTTTCTTCAGCAAATAGGCTGAACGCAATAGCAGTAAAAACCTGACATTTTAAGGAAAAGAAGAAGCAAATTAGACAAGACCATATACAGAAGCAGACCAAAAATGAGAACTAAAGAGTACTTTGGAGAAAGCACATTCTTGGAACTATGGAAATCAAAGCCAGAAATGGAGACTGTTAAAGATAATTCCAGGGGAGGAAAGCATCAAGGAGTTTTCACTGATGAGTGATGACTAATCACAAACCATCTTTCAATCAGTTATGTATTGCTAGCTAAAAGAAAGGGAAAAGAACCTCAAAATGACTGAGACATCCATTCTCAAGTTTCACTGCCCTTTCAATAACCTCCCTCCTTGTATTGAAATGATGATTCAATGCCTTGGCTGATACTGGCTCACCCCATTTTCCCAAGGTTATGCGCTCCCTGATAGTCTGTATATGTGGACTGCTCATATGCAGCAAATCAACTAGTCATACAAACTACATCTATTGTACACAAAGTGCCCAGCTATAAATAAGTACTTAATAGTTAACACTGTTACTAATAAAACATCTTTGACAATACCTTGTGTAGCAACCAACAGAATAGCCTTCTGCCCGCAGTATACTTGAGAGGAATGCAGCTGTTGATCCTTTTCCTTTTGTTCCAGCAATATGAACAGTCTACAATAATTTCACTTTAGAACCAAAGAGTACACTACAACTCAATCAATCCCACTAAAATCCTAGATAAGTTAATACAATGTGATGCAAGAAACTACAAATTGAACTAAATATAGTAAAATGGAGAAAGGAAATCTGACCTTAAACCTAGATTGGGGATTACCCATTAGTCCCATCAATCGTCTCATTCTTCCTAAATCAAAACCATCTTCGGAATCTGTTCCTGCGCCTTTGGGAACCCCTGACTTCTCGAAGTTCTTGAGACTGTCCAAAAACTCCATCATTTCGTCTAATTCTGGATCCTCTCGTAAAGTGGAGAAGGCATGACGGGTATTGTGGACAAGTCCAGCAACTGAGCAGAGCATATTTCTCTGAATTGAACGAGTGAATCGACAGAGAATGCTAAGGTTTTTCATTTTTTGTTCCTCACACTACAGAGCAGAAACCATTGCTTCTCAATCGGCCATTTCTGTTCTTGCCACAACTTTCAGAAAACAAGGGTGTGTTTGGTTGAGTTTTTAGCTAAAATTGTCCCTTTTATATATTGGAACATGTGCATTTTTGCTCATTCAAATATCACCCATCTAATAAACGGAAAATGACCTAAAATATCTTCGAAGTATTAAAAATGGTACAAAACTATCCACCTATTGGCTCCAAAATACCCTTGTCATCCACCTATTGGCTCCAAAATACCCTTGTCATCCACCTTTGGGTCCAAATTTGACCACTTTTTTAACTAATATTAATTTAAATTATTTAATTATATTTTTAAAATACGTATCGCTCAACCACTAATTATTTTAATTAATTAATAAGTATAATTTATAAACCCCCTCATTACTAATTAAACTAGTCCCAATTAATACACTCGCCCCAAATCATAATTGCCCACCTATTAAACAAAATTCTCTGCCCTTCGTTCCCAACACCTGTTAATTATTGATTTCTTTGTTGTGGACTGATTGAGGTCAATGCTGCATAAAGAAATTGCCTTCTTATATCGCATTGTAACATTTGAGTTATAGTAATGTTTCCATGTATGCCGAAAATGTAGCACTTTGAATTAGTATTGAATGGACGTAGGAAATGACAATCAGCATTTTTTCTTGTTTTACAACATTACATGTTGATGGAGTCTGCAGTTTTGTGACAAATGATCGATTAAGAGTTTGAAATACAAGACAAGAGATTTGACTTAATTTTTTGTTCTAACAACCTAGTCAGCATTACTTTGATGAGGGAAATGAACAGAAATATAAGTCAAATCTAATATAGCTAAAAATATACAGAGAAGAGACACATAATTGAGTAATTAAGCAATGTTTCTATACAGGTATTGGGAATGAAGGGTGAAAGGGCTATGTTTAATTGGTGGGCAATTATAATTTGGGGCGAGTGTATTAATTGGGACAAGTTTAATTAGTAATGAGAGGGTTTATAAATTATACTTATTAATTAATTAAAATAATCAGTGGTTGAGCGCTATGTATTTTAAAAAACAATTAAATAATTTAAATGAATATTCGTTAAAAAGTGGTCAAATTTGACAAGGGTATTTTGGAGCCAATAGGTGGATGACAAGGGTATTTTTGAGCTAATGGGTGGATGAGGGGTAGTTTTGTACCATTTCCAATACTTCAAGGATATTTTAAGCCTTTTCCGTCTAATAAATTTGGCTTAAAAATAAATTGTTATAAAAAAAAAATTGATCGAATTTTGAATTACCAAAAAAAAGGTGACCGGCACAAAAAAAAACGAGTTAAGTTGATTTTTTATTTTTTTAAAAAAAAAGTTAAAAAGAATTTGAGAATTTTTTATAAACATTTGTTTTTGGTTAAAGAGTATCCATGTTGGACGATGCATAAAAAAAAAGTTTTCAATGAAAACGGTGTTTGTTTGCCATTCTTCAATTTAGACATATTCGTTATAGGTTCCTTGTTTTATTTGAATGATGCATAAAAATGCATAAAAGAATAGTTTTCAAATCCTAGTTTTCAATTCAGGATTTGAAGTTTATGAATTTTGAACTTGTCATTAAATTCATAGCTCATTTTAGTTATTGAGTCTGCAATTAAAATATTTACGATTCAAGATTTAAAGTTTATGAATTATGAACTTGTCATTGAATCCATATCTCATTTGAGTTATTGGTCTGTAATTAAAATATTTATTTATATATGAGCACAACAACAACAACATACCCAATATACGGGTTAAGGGAGTGTGGGGAGTACACACTAGCCGCTATTTTTATGCGGTAGAGAAATTGTTTTAGAACCTGTATTTAATATTGTAACTTCACCCGTGAACGTAATGTGAACAAAGTCTATCAAATTATAGTTTGTGGAAAATAAGAGGAGCACCATACTGAGGCTGAACGGTTACTGAGTATTGAGGAGCATGTGTGTAAGATGTCGACAATTCGAAAGAAAAGGTTTGTAGGATCATAGACAGAGCCATCTTTGCTTCCAACATGGCAAAATTTTGTCCAATGCATATTCTTGGACCCCAACTAAATGGAAAATATGCAACTTGACCCTTTGTTGCACTTGATATTCCTTCTCTAAATCTCTCTGGATTGAACTTGTTTGCATCTTCACCCCATATCTCTTTATCATGATGCAATATGCTTATTGGCAATGAGACTAGCACACCAGCTGGTAGAGATACTTCTCCTAGCGTAATGTCTTCAATAGCTAGTCGGGTAAGTGTTGTTACCGGGGAATATAGCCTTAATGATTCGTACAAGATCATCGTTACCTGTAACATGCATGCTCGTTATATCAAGCATGACACAGAAAATGAACCAAAAAACTAGAATACTTACAACTTTTAGACGATTTAATCCATCAAAATCTGGTTTTCGACTCCCAAACACTTGCAAGACTTCTTCTCTGGCCCGTGCCTGCCAGTCTTGATACCTGCTTAAAAGCACCAGAGTCCATAGGAGCCACACTGATGTAGTTTCTGCACCAGCAAAATAGAACAGCTTGCATTCTTCAATGATTTCATCGATGCTCATTCCAAAGTCCTTGTTTCCGTCCTGCTGTTCAATTTCCTTAAAATTTGATTCCAGCAATATGCCTAATAGATCCACATTATCGACGTCCCCAGCTTCCATTGCCTTCAATCTTTTATCAATAATACCTCTAATTAAGGACTGAACATCCTTCTTTATTTCCTTCATTCTTCTGTTCCTCTTTGTTGGCAAAAATCTTTTATGTAACACAACACAAAACAAAAATACATTCACAAAAATCAATTAGTGTAGTTTGTAATAGAGGACTGACTACAGCTACATTCTTAGGGGAATTAAGCTACCTCCATCCTGGGATATAAACTGAGCGCATAGCTTCGATAAAATGCGGAACTTGTTCATTTTGAAGTTCAAAAATCTTTCTACCTTCTTCATAACTACTACCAAAAGCTGTCCGAGAGATCACATCACTAGTCAATTGTTGCAGGTGAGGCCATACATCTATCTCATGAGAGCCTTCAACTGGAACAACGTCTTCCCATTTGCTCAGCATCTCATTACAGCTCAAGTAAAAAGCTGGAAGCATATGCTGTTTGAGAAAATGGTGAACGACGACTAATGTCAATTTGAACAGAATTAGGAATTGCCATCACCATCTAGTACAAGTTGCTGGTTAAATCAAAAGAACGATCGTTCATATAACAAATAAGGTCAGGAATAAACAGATCCATTTGACCGTAAATACATCTAATAATCTTCCACCCATCGAGCATAGTCCTCTCTGAATGCATAAAGAGCAACATTTAGTACAAGCCAAGGAACTTACGCAAATATAGTCCTGACAAATGGTGATCCAGACAAGATTCGACTTTTTTGAACCATAAAATGATTCTCCAATTGTCTTAACAGCAGAAATCACTCAAAATAGTCATATGTGCAAGATCAAATTGAAAACATAAAGCGGAAAGAGATGTTTAACCGGAACATTATTAGCCAGATAAGCAAGAGCGAGCATATTATCAATTGGTGGAAGAAAAATCTACAACATTGCCGTCCCTATAGAACCACTACTATGCTTGTCTACTTTCAAATCAGGTAGCACATATATATTACTCGAAATAGTCATATGACATTAAAGTTTAGATTAAACGATAAATCAAAGGAGATAGAAGCAAGAGCACACATTTTATCCATCCATAGAGTAAGAATTGCCCAACGTAATAGTTTCTGGTTGACCAGTTGAATGACATACCTTTAACTTCTCTAGATGGAACGCGGGATTGATGATTTTTCTATTTTTGGCCCATTTGTCTTTCTCATAGCTTACTAATCCTTTTACAAATAAGCTGCCTAATGGATTTCCATGAGGCTTTTGATACAAATAAATTTTCGAGAGTACTTCCTTTATAAGCTCAGGGTCCATGATCAATACTTGTGGTTTTGGACCCATCCATGTAAAACATTTTTTCCCTGCAACCATAAATATGTCTCATGATTAATTACTACTAGTACTAATTTCAAAATAAAACATTTAAACCGATCGAAGAGAACAAAATGAACAGAGTGATCTTTAGATTAAAAAAAAACAATTCACGAGAACAGGCACATTACAATTTCATCGAATTCGAAGAAAGTTGAAACAAACTACATACACCAAGGAGCTTCTAGCTAAACTGCTTATTTGTATTAGCAAGTTCATTAAATATGTACAAATATTTTTAATTGCAAACCTCATAACTAAAGAAAACTAAGGGTTCAATTTCAAGTTCAAAAAACATAAACTTCAAATCCTATCTTCGTCTGTGGAAATGAATGAGAGATTTGTGAATGGATAACAAATTAGTGAATTTAATCTACTACTTATATGAAAAACTAGTTAGTATTATTTTCACCAGATTATCAATAAAAGTATGACAGAAGATTTACATGTATTTATTGAATAAATGATCAAAAATTCTTTTTTTCTTTATGATTACAACAAAGAATAGCACCATTCTTGGTGCAACATCATCAAGGTATATTGTAAACAACCTTAAACTATATTTCTACAAGAGGTTGTTTCCACGACTTTGCTCACATGACATCAACTTTACCAGTTACTCAATAACTTATAAAAAAGCCATGAATTTATGTCATGTCATATTCAAAACTCATAAACTTCAATTTCTGACTCTGATCGTGTTAATGAATTTAAGTTATATACACTATCACACAATACAAAATTTAGTAAATTTAAACCTACTATAACAAGTTAGTTGAAAACATACCATATTTGTTGATGGTTTCAAGAAAGAAAGGCATCATTCTTGGTGCTAAATCATGATCAGACATATTCATAGGCTTTGAATTAGCTTCCTTAATCATTCTAGTAACATCTTTCATGTCCCCATATAATAGTCTGTATGAATTCCCTTTTAGCCCTTGTTTCCTCAACAAATTCTCCAACTTCTTTGGATTGAACCAAACCCAATTCAGTACTTTCCATAACA